TTACCAACTTCTACTAATATTATAGACTTCTAATTAATATTATATTTTATGAAGTATCTTAGTATATAAAGGTTTTTAAAGATAGTATTTGATATATTAAATATTAATATTAGATTAGATTTATTTTATTATTTTTTACATATTAGATAAAAGAATATGTAAATTTTTTATTAAATAAATACTTTTGATGTACTATTAGTTTTTATTAAGATAATTAAACAAATATCTTGTAGTATATATAAGAAGTTGTTAAATCCATACTTCAATGTTATTAAAGCCACATCTTCCAAATCATGTGATAATTAATTATTAGAAATAGGGAATGAGGTATGATGTTAAGAAATAAGGCATGGAGATTGAAAACAAAAGATAGGATGCATGGAATAAGGGACAAAGACAATGATGGATGGAATTGATCATGAGATGGTAATGTGGGATGTGGCTTTAATAACATTGGGATGTGGCATTAACAACTTCCTATTTCTTTATATATATATATATATATATATATATATATATATATATAATTTATTAATTTTTAGTAAAATTATATTTTTATTTTTATCAATGACATCTATTAAAACTAAAAACTAAATATTGATAGTAATATAGTATAAAAAATAATTAACTAAAATTAGAATCAATTAATTTTTTATAATGAAGAAGTAAGAGTTTTTTTTTAAAATGATCATTTATACAATTTCCAAATAAACACTTTGGTTGTTTTGACCTTTATGGCATTAGAAGTAAAAAAAAGATCTTTAGTAAAAATATGAAAATATGGTATGTGTATAATGTTACAACTTTAGAAGAGCATGTTATTGTTTGAGAATACTCTTGAAGATGAGTAATAAACTTGATAATTATTAAAAATAATTTTTTAAAAATATATTGGATAGTCTTAAAAATATAAAGTAAATGGATGGTCATCTTGCTTAAATATAAAATATTTATAAGGGCTTCAAAAAACTATGATTAATTTTTGTGCAAATAAAGATAAAAGTTTGTAATAAAGACCATTCAATAGATCTTTGACTACATAATTTATTTATAAATTGGAGAATATATTTCTTAAAATAAAAATAATAAAGTGAGTAATATCTATATTACTTTATTAAATAGAAGTAATTAAAAACAATAAAAATTAAAAATAATAAATTAGACAAAAAAGTTGCTTAATTTTGCATTTAGATATGGTTGTGAAAAGTAATTAATGTGTTAATAGCTTTGGATACAAAAATGTAATTTCTAATATGTTAGCAACTTTTGGCAGTTGGTTAAATACAAGGCACAAACAATTTGATATTTTATTTACTAAATTTAAGATTCAACATAGATAATCTGAACAAATTTTTTTTAGAATTTAAACATGATGGACATAAAAGAATAAATTTATTTGCTATATAAAAAAGCTAAAAATTAATATTCCAAAGATAAATCACAATAAGATAAAAGATTTCAAATTTGAAGCTTATACTTTTTGCATTTTTTTTATCTTATTACTCGAATATATATTTTAAAAATTTAGAAAATGTTTCAAATACACATTAAATCTCAAAATAATCAGTTTTTTAGTATACAATTTGATATTAAGCATTTGATCATTTTAATGTATAATTGTGTATTAAAGGTTTTACAGAGATAATAAAGCATATATATATATACATGTTTATATTTTTTAATATAATGTGCCATCAAAATAAAACTTTTTTATCTTTTTTTTGCTACTTTTTTGATAATACTAATATAAAGTAATTTTGATGTTTGTAGATTCGAATTTAATTAAATAGGTTTTTAACTGTGTTTCTTAAGTAAAATTTAATTTTGAGTTATCATTCAAATGTTATAGTATGCTCTTTGAAATACGTTTTTTTTAATTTTTATTGATTCTACCAGAAAACAGTATCTGAGTTATAAAAAAAAGAATGAAGAAACTGAATTACTGTAAGTCGATTTAAAAATAAATATGTTATTTGTCAAATATGATTTTACAATTATTAAATGTTATTTTATTATTTCTGAATTTAATATAATTTTAGAATATTATTTTCATCTTAATTATTGTGATATATGGATATATATATTGAAATAATATGGTGATGTTTGTACATATAAAATATTTACATTTGTTTTTATTATTATAATTAACTTTGTGTTATTATTTTCCTCAACATGTTTGATTATTTGTGTATGACTAAAAAGTTGATTTAATAATACATATGTGCTATTTCATGTTCATATTTTTTATAATGTAATGTACACATTCAAATGCCATGTTGATGTACGTTTGCATTGGAATTTTAGATTTTAAGTTTGGAAATATTTGAGTTTTAGAATTCAGTTATCATCAAGTTACTGTTGTATTTTTGAAAGATCAGCGATGTGGGCTGTGATGAATGCAGTGTTTTAGCTGGCTTGCTTGCTTGCATGGAAGCCTGAAATGTGGGCTGAGGCTGGTTGAGAGAGCCCTGACAGACACACACAGCGCAATTGGCGACGGGGGTGCAAAGTGCACCGCGGGATTCCATCCACACACCAGGAAGGCAGGAAGGAAGAACATTCATTCATCCATTTGATCATACATTCATCCATTTGATCATCCATTCATCAGTTTGATCATACATTCATCCATTAAATCATATATTCATCCATTTAATCGCTCATTCATCCATTAAATCATTCATTCATTCATCCATTCAATCGTTCATTCATCCATTCAATCGTTCATTCATCCATTCAATCATATATTTATCCATTTAATCATCCATTCATTTATTAAGAAGTTTCTGTTTGTTCGCGGAAAACAGAGAACAGTAGCACCTCGAAGAAACGAGGAAGCTGGAGGGAAAGGAGGGGGGTTGGCAGGAAGGCTATGTGCGGGAATTTTAGGGTGAGAATAGGGAAAGAGAAGGAGGAGGAGGTC